TTTATTTGATGCTGGGTTCAAGATATGATTTAGCAATATTATGTCATGCTGTTTTTATGAAAAAATCAAAATATTATTTGTATCTATGTCAATAACAAAAGTGAAAAAACAAAAGATAAACTAAGAGAGTTATATGTTCTAAAAAGGGCAGTCCAGGGCCTCCCCTGTTGGCACAGCGGTTGAGTGCTGGGCTGCAAAGCTGCCCGCAGCCTCTGCAGTGCTGGTTCGATGCCGGGCCGCCGGCGAGGGTCCCACAAAATAAATAAACAAACAAACAAACAAACAAATAAATAAAAATAAAAAGGGTAGTCCAGTGGAAATCAAGGTAAATACATACACCCACTTCAAGAAGTATTCAAGTATCTGATTTTAGTCTGACAAAACACATTTCAAAGAGGACTAAATTAATAGCCTCAAGAAGAATCCAGTGAAAAGGGAAGAAAATTAAGAAATCACAAATAGGAGCTATAACGGAAATTTCTGAACTATATTAAGATAGGGAAAAATAGAAGGAAATAAGAGATCAAGAAAAAAAAAATTACGCTGCTTGTCAAGTATACCCTTGACTATCTCTAAACAAAAGAAAATCTACAATTCCCAGGATTGTTTTCACTCTCCTACAGTCTTAGTACCTGCATGCATACACTAAGCAACCAAATTGGAAACCAGTTACTGTTAGATATTGTAAAAGGTAGGCTCAGGTGCTTATTCCATTCTCTTATCCATAGCCCTAAGGATGATATTATCCTGTCCACTTTTCTCCCAACACCGACACCACCTTACACAAAGCAATCAACTTCGTGTTTGGCAGAAAAGGCACACTTGTGAGACCTGGCTTCATCAGTGATACAAGCTAGACTCTCCAAAATAAAAGTTATAAATTCCAAAAAGCCAACATGAGATGCAGTAACTCTAAAACAGAGAATGCTGAAAGTCAGCTTTTAGCTCTAATAGGACCAGCTGCAATTTATTTTCTTGTCCTGGATTCGCCTTCTTATATGACGTAACTGGGGTATATTTCTGTCCCTTAAAATCCAGAGACCCAACTAGATAAAATCCTAAACAAGATTAGTAAATCCCAGGAACACAGAAAAAAAGTTTTCTTCTTGTTGTTTTTAATCTCACTAAATATACAGTTCACAGTTTAATACAAATGTAGTGAGGAATTCTAGTTTCTAATCCTATCTCTGCTCTAAAACATCACGTGAACAAATATCTCAACCTTTGTTTACTCCCTCATGAAAGAAGGAATTATAGATTAGACTTAAAATTTAACTTGAGGGCCTCCCTCGTGGCTGGTGGCACAAGGGGTTAAGCACCGCACTATGGTAATCCACAGCCTCTGCAGCATGAGTTCAATCCCGGGCCGGCCAGGGAGCAACCCACATGGCAAGGCAGACCTCTCCTGTCTCACCCGCTGCTCCCCTCAGCAGTTTATTTCAGTCAATCTGCCTGTTCTATTCCCCACTCTGTCTCTGGTGGATCCTTTCACCCTCCCCCCGCCCCCCACATCTCTGGCCTGTGCCCCGGCTCTTGTATGCATAAATAAATCTTTAAAAAAATTTAACTTGATAGTGTGAAGAGTGAGTGTGTATGTATACAACAAATGCAAAGACATAAGAGCTATAATGAAAATTTCTGAAATATATTAAGATAGGGAAAAATAGAAGGAAATAAGAGAAGATGTAAACTTGCAAGAAGAATGTAAACTTGCCGTATAAAATGGCTTTCTTGAGACCCTGAATTGCCATGGAGAGCATCACTCAGACTATATAACAAATTCAAAATGCAGTGCCTGAAGCAAATATAACATCAACGTAAAAATACACAACTTCCTTTCAGAATAAGCAAGGTACTTACCTGATATACACTGCCTCCCTTCTTTGTCTCTGCAAAAATTCATGACTACCATACTTTCAACCATTCAAAAATTCATGACTACCATCTACCTTCAACCATCTTCTGAAGGATTCCTTAAGTACAGATCACCATGCTCTGAATCACAAGAATAACTCCTACCATGCTTGGCAATAACTACAAAGGTATATTTCTATAGCTGGTTTAATGGTCTATGAGATGACATGGCAGAAAACCTCTCTATTAAATAATGCAGGTAGACTAGAATAAAGGGTGACTCTGATCTAACTAATAATTATGAGTTGATGGCGATAAGGATAACAGGGCAATAAGACAGACAGTGACAGAAAGACAATAATAATGGCATAGCACCATAGCATGGGGACTGAAAAAGGCCTAATGCTAGGAGGGTCACAGAGGAGTAGCTATACCTGTATTAAAATACATAAAGGACCAGCCTTTCATAAGTGTTGTATCTTTAACTCCAATATACATCTGAAATGAGGCAGGGCAGTCATTTCTGCTCTATTTTGAAACCTGGCTATCTAATAAGGGTCTTATTTTACTGAGTTCACCCCAAAACCTTATAATAAAATTCTGGTCACCCATGTTAATTTCAGAATCCCTCTGGGCCTTGAAACTTTTAAGTCTAACACACGTAATATTTTTTTTTTAAGATTTATTTATTTATTTATACGAGCACTGGGTACAGTCAGAAGCGCGGGAGGGTGAGAGAATTCACCAGAGCCAGAGTGGGGAGCAGAGCAGGCAGAAGGACCGAAGTACACTGCTGAGGGGAGCAGCGGGCAGCTGGAGAGGTCTGCACGCCATGTGGGACCCTCCTCCGGTGGCCGGGGAGCAGCCAGGGATTGAACCGGTGCCACAGAGGCTGCGGGCAGCTTCGCAACCAAGCACTCAACCACTGCGCCACTGGGGAGGCCCCACATAATAATTTTCACAAAGCTAAACATTTTCTATGTACCTATTAATAGCAATCATCTTCTAAGACAAAAGTTAAAACAAAAATGACCTTCAGATTCTTCCCTCAGCATTATAAATATAGATATAAATACAGGTTTATTATTCTTTATTTGAAGTAAGTTTTCTCTAATAACAGGTTAACTCAATTAGGTCTTCCAGAGTCAACACTAGCTCTTAACTTTTTTTTTTCTTGGAAAACAAATAGACTAGTGAGGTTTACTAATAAAAAATGAAACATTTTTTAAAAAATAGGCAGACTTTGGGCCTCCCCTGGTGGTGCAGCGGTTGAGCGCTGGGCTGCAAAGCTGGCCACAGCCTCTGCAGCGCTGGCCCGATCCCCGGCCACCAGCGAGGGTCCCACATAGACTGACAGACCTCTCCTGCTGTGCCTGCTGCTCCCCTCAGCAGTGTACTTCATCAGTATGCCTGTTCTGTTCCCCGTTCTGGCTCTGGTAAATTCTCTCACCCTCCCGCGCCCTCCCGCGCTTCTGACTGTACCCAGTGCTTGTATAAATAAATAAATAAATCTTTAAAATAAAATAGGCAGACTTTAATGACAGAGAATCATTTAGCCCAAACTAAATCAAAATCAGCCTTACCACAGAAACATAAGATTTGGTAACTATTTAACCTATCTTAAATTATCTGCTTTAAATTTCCTATAATGTTATTTATCAAGAGTTTAATACAAAGCACTGTGGTTTAACAAAGATGTAGTAGAAAATGAAGGCAAATTTAGAAACTCAAGAAACTCTTATTAAGCAACATCAATTGACTTCTACAGCAAAAGCAGAAGACAAAAAAATGTGACTTGTTCTAAAATCAATAAAAAACTATAAATAACTCCTTGAAGATACCTGACCATTAGTGTTGCTGGTAATTCTTCCTTTCAATTTTCTTTTTTTTTTAAAGGTTTATTTATTTATGCATACAAGAACAGGGGTACAGGCCAGAGGCGTGGGGGGTGAGAGGATTCACCAGAGACAGAGTAGGGAACAGAACAGGTAGACTGACTGAAATACACTGCCGAGGGGAGCAGCAGGCAAGACAAGAGACTTTTGCTGTGTCACGTGGGTTAGCTCCCTGTCTGGGGATCATACTCACGCTGCAGTGGCTGTGGATAGCTTCATAGGCTGCATCTTAACCCCTTGCGCCACTAGGGAGGCCCCTTCCTTTTAATTTTCATTTCACTTTTTATAATAAATAGATTCACATTTACTTAAACCTCTAGAACCATTCTCGTAGGTTCAAAGAACATAAAATTTTGTGAAGGAATAAACCAAAATCATAGTCAACAAAACCACTGGGAAAACAGATAAATGACAGTGACTGAAAAGCTACTGTATACTATGTACCAAATAAGAGTTCATACCTATAACATAAAACAAACAAGCTGATGTTTGGCTCATTATTTTTTTTAAGTCAGCATGATCTTCTCATAGTAGAATATAAGGGAATTATTAAAAAAATTTTTAAAAACCCTGAGGTTCAGTACACCTGTTATATGAAAAAAAAACAGTTTGACCATTTCCCATACATTAAACATAGTTATCATATAACCCCCAAATTCCACTCAGATATATATGCCCACCAAGAGGATTGAAAATTCAAATAAACACATGTAACATTCATGTTCACAGCAACACTATTCACAATAGCCAAAGGTGAAAATGACCCATATGTTCATCAATGAATAAATAAATTGTGGTATCTACATATAATGGAGTATATTACAGTCATAAAAAGGAATGAAGTATTGATACATAATACAACATAGACACATTATGTATGCCAAGTGACAGATGCCAGACACAAAACGTTAAATAGTGTATGATTCCATTCATACGAAATATCCAGAATAGATAAATCCATAGGGACAAAATGTAGAATGGTAGTTGCCAACTGCTAGGAGGAGAAAATGGGGAGCAACTGCTTAAATGGATACAGTTTTCCATTTGGGGTGATGAAATGTTTTGAAACTAGAGAGAGGTGGTAGTTGCATAACATTGTGGCTATACTAAATGCCAATGAATTGTTCACTTTAAAATGGTTAAGTTAATGTTATATTCACTTCACTTCAGTTAAAAAAAAAACAAACTGGATCAGTTGTTAGGAAGACACAATTCTAGACCTGGGTTCTAGGCCAGCTACTTATAGCTGACCTCTCTGAGCCTCAATTTCTTCATCTGTAAAACAGGCTGGGAACAGATGATATCCAAGGTTCCTCTCATTAACTGGTGCTCTATATCTGCAGCTCTGAATTTTTAAAGAATTGTATCATATAGGAATTTATCTGAAAAACAAAGCATGGAGTACTGGTTAATGTTCTCAGCATCAGTCTTATAGGTAAGTCATTAGAAATTTTAACAAAATTACTTCTCATAATGACTTTAAATTAAAGTGGACATAAACATTAAAAGGCAATGCAATGAAAGGCAATTTGCAAGGAGCAAAAGAGTTCTAAGATTATAGCTATCTAAAAAACTATATCCAAGGATACAAATTAAAGAATCTAAGCACAATTATAAAAAATAAATTAATACATGAAATTAGAGAATCTTGAAGAACAGCTGGATTAAATAATGCTTGGGTATTTTTCACCAACATCAATGCTTTCAAACTTTGAAAGTTCATTAAATTACAGATCACCAAATGTTGATAATCTATATTTCTCATTTAGAATTAATCCATATACACCTAAAACTCAAATAAGCCATAAAGAGGCTTACTATAAGTGGTGTTGTCACAATCCTACTTTTATAAGGTGGCAGACTATAGAAAAGCAAAATAAGCAAAGCCGAAAGTGTATATACCAATATAACAAAGGTCAACCTGTGTTATCAGAACTTCACCCCATACAGTACAGTTGAAATAATTTTGGTCTACAAAATTTAAGCTAAATGATGTCAGCTGACATAGCCAAAGAAAAATCTTTGTAACATTACTATGAATCCTCGGAATCTGTATCAGTAAAACTAAACTGTGAAATGTGCCCACAGATGACTGAGAAAATTGACTTGTGTGGTTTTTAAATAATTATCAAATGAGCTGTAGAAAAACGAGTACCCTTCACATCCACCTAAACATCAGGCAAGTCAATAAATGTAATCCAAAAAGAGAAAAGTAAAACAAGCACCATTTAGCATACTTGTTTCTCAGCTTTCATTTTGCTGAGCACCTCTAAAAATTATGTATACAAAAAACACAAATAAAAATGCATGCCACAATTCAGTTGTTAAAATCATCCTTTTGATGTTGCCTAACTCCCATGACCCTCATCTATTCATATTTGTTGTCACAGGCTTGAAAAGTTACTTTTAACTTCACAATGCAGACACATGAAATAAGGTCATTATATGCAAAATAACCTAAGTTATGCAAAATAATCTAATTTTTTAAAGTATAAAAGCTTAATCAAATCATGACATATTTTGCTTAGTAAAAACACAAGTTTTAATTACAAGTTAACATGATATACTTTAATTCTATAAGTTCTGTCTTCCACTTAACATATAATTTTCTTATTTCTACTTCATTACCAAACTTACAACTTTACAATTAATCTTATTCTGATCAAAAACTTTTTGAAAGTATTTTAAATGAACTCTTTCTTCAAAAGTAATTTGAGAGTTAATCTGCCTAACCAGGTTAACTCTTAAAGCCTACAAGCACTATACTTTAAAGAGCTTCAATTTTGAAAGAAAAAAATACTGTACTCTGCTGACAGTGGTATCTGATAAAGTTCTCTTATCTCCAAGTTTAATGGTACAAAAAAAAAGTTACATGTCAGGTTAAAAAAACAGGTTGCAGTTAACCAATTTTTCTTACAGCAAATTTGAAACAATGACCCATATAGTTTGTACTTTAATCAGGTCTGAGTGGTTTCACTTTTCAGCATTCCTAAATGTATAGCATTTCTTGTACATTGAAAAATAAAACCTGTCAAGAATTGCTCACATCAGTAATTGGGCAATTTAAATAGTTCCTGAAAAGCAGCAAGTGTCAAAGTCAAGAAATAGGAAAAGCTCTGCCACTGTTGGATAAATAGAATACCATTCTGAGCAAGCAGAGCTACGATGTGCAGAACTGCCCTGGCCTTCAAACTCTACAGCCACCGCCTGCCAATGTCAGTACAAACTGACTAGGCCTTTAACACTACCCTGGGAGCCTGCGTGGGGAATAACATGGCAGAGGCTGTTACCTCTTCTCTGTGGATCTTGCATAATCAATCTAAACTGCTTAATAGATAGAAGGACCCAAGATTAGGACTTCCTACAAAGTTAAGCCTATCAAAGTTTTAGACTGACGCCTGAGAACCATTCATTCAATTCCAAACTGTCATCCACATGAGACTACTGAATCTATCTTCCAGACTGATTCTGAACCCACTATGTCCTATTATCTTTGTTCAGGATCAAGAGATTTTCAATTCTCTCCTGTACTCTCACCACTGCACTATTCTTGCTTTTTCCTCCTTTATCGAACTTCCCATTGCTTCCCTCCCTCTTGAAGTTTCCCTCTGGATTTACTCTGTTCCATGGTAAAAATAAAACAACTATGTCCTCAACAACTTCACTATTTGCTTTAAATAAAAGCTGCTACAGCCCTCTCAAAGGTTTCTTGTTCTTTCATTTATCATGTACCCCAACTTCATGTTGCAGTCATGGTCCCTACCATAATTCCCAGCCAGTTTCCTGTAAAACTGTGCCTGTGCAATTCCTGAATATTAAAATAACCTGGGGGCATTTTAAAACCTCACTGTCCAGATTACACCTCTCACAAATTAAATCTGAATAGTTGCAAATGCACTCGAATTTCCAAAGTGCAGTGAAATTACAGTAAGAACATTAGTTTCTAACATTCTACAAGTGATTACGATACACAGTCACAGATGAGAACCACTGATCTACAAGGCTCTCCTAATCATCCACTCAAAATTCTTTTGACAATATTCTTCTCTATCCCATGTACTCTATAAGCTTAAGGTATTTCAAGAAACACATGGATAACCCATCCAATACTCTACTTTTAATACCATAAGTATTTCAACTTCACTACCTTTCATTATAACTCCACTTTAGCCACTCTAAGACCATACTGTGGATTCCATAACCACCCTGTCTTCTCTGACTAAGAAATGTGAAAATTTAACTGTCTTATTCTCCCACCACACTCTCCCCATTCTAAATTACACCAACTGCATCTATTGTTCACTGTCAGAGTCGCAGATACTAGATTTTTCTACTTTCTCACTAATAAGCCCACCTCTGTATTCACCTTTCTACGATGGAATCAAAGGTTGAGCATATTTCAATCACTCTTTTGCCCATATCCTCATGTATACTATTATTCCATTATGCTAGAAATTATGTGTATACTTTCCTTATATATGTCATATGCTGTACGTATCATTAGGATATAAATTGTGTATTGTTTGTTCATTGATGCATTCCTGGTGCCAAGTATAACATTTGGCATATTCAGTATGCTCTCAGAAGGTATATACTGATTGAATAAGCAAAACAAAAACATAGTAGATCTGATTAATCAACTAAATCAATGTAATAAAGTCAAGATTTATTTTTCCCAGTGATAATCTTCACCGGTTTATCTTCCTTTCTGATCATTAACACTTAGGTTCCATTTGCCCATGGTTTGTTACTCTGTCAAATCAATCCATTGGGCAATGGCTATCTATAGGGCAAAGGGAAGGGGAGAAGAGTATAAAGTTCAATAATAAACAAAAAACTATTGGAATAATTATATAAACACTTGAGAAACTTGTCAAAGTAAGAAAAAGATAATTCACCTCACTAGCTTTTAAGAATTATTTTTGAAAATTCTCTCATGTGTGTTTATACATAAAGGCATGGAAGTGCCCAGACCATTTTTAAAATGAAAAAGATATACGATACTGGGCCTCCAGTGGCGTAGGGGTTAAGACACAGGGGTGCAAGTGGTTAAGTCACAGCCTATGAAGCTGTCCGCAGCCTCTGCAGCATGAGTTTGATCCCCGGCCAGCCAGGGAGCTGCCCACATGGTGCAGCAGACCTCTTCTGTCTTGCCCGCTGCTCCCCTTAGCAGTGTACTTCAATCAATCCATCTGTTCTGTTCCCCACACTGTCTTTGGTAAATCCTCTCACCCCCCACACCTCTGGCCTATACGCCAGTTCTTTTATGCATAAATAAATCTTTTTAAAAAAAAGATATACAATATTTTTCCTTATTATTTAACACACTTCTGCACTGGTTTACTATTCACAAAGCATATCATTTTTTTAACAAAAAGTATGTTACAAAGGATAGATACATTTTTATTTTTAGATTATACATGTCTTTTCCTACAAAGAACATATATCCTCAGCTTTTTATTAAATTTCAATTAACAGACACTTAAAATATTTAAGTGAATACATTATCAGTATTACTAACATTTCTACTAGCAATAGTCATAAACCCTGAACTATACAAAGTGAAAAAATATGAAATAACAACTTATTTGAGAAAACAAGTTAAAATAGTCAGTTAAATTATGGTAATAACAAGGAAATAGCTTAGCAAACACATGACCTGTAAAACAGATCTGCACATGGGGAAAACCTTTAAAAAGAAGACAGATATGCATTTATCGAGGTTTAATTAAACAAAAAATTTTAAATATTTAAATAGAAAATGAGACTAAGAGGGTGGAGGTGATGAGAGCGGACACTGCTGCGACTCTGTGAAGCAGCAGCTGAACCATAAACAGAATATAATGATCTAAGCTATCATTCTTGGACCTAAGGTGCTACTGAAAAAAACAAGTCAGTCCAGTAACAACTTTCAAAGTTAAAAACCCAGAGACGTATTAATGTGCTGGGGAAGAAATGGATACACATCCCAATAATCCTAAGAAAAGGCAATTATGAATTCTGCAAGGAGGAGTAAACGTATTACACAGGCAAAGAGAGTAGGGCTGAAAAAACATGGTCTCTTCTTTGTATGATTCCTCCTCCTCTAAGGGGTTTGGCTAACCATGAAGAATATTCACTGCAGGGCAACAGAAGACTGCAACACTACAGAATTTTACTTTATTGTAGCTAGTTTTCTGGGAGCATAGTGATTGTTAATTATCCAGAACTGCTAAATTGTACGCCCAACCACTTACTGCCCTGAAATTACTAAAATCTTCTATAAACATATACACACCATCTAAAAAAAGTCACCAAATATATATTTTTTTCAGATTTCAAGTTTGAGAAAACTACTAAGGCTTCATTTCAGTACTACTTTTATCTATTTCTCTTGCTTATG